AACCTCTGTGGTGCACACTGACTGTCCGCCTTGACGCCGAGGAAGCTGCCCAGCTAGGCTGAAATGGGAGAGAGAGTGAATGAAATTTTCAGTCTAGAGGGGTTGTACATGGTCAAAGGGATCAGGTGGGGCCTCTGCACCAGCCAAAAACAGCCAAGAGGGTCCAGGGAGGGGCCAAGACATCATTGTGCATTTAAGGTTTTCTGTGCACTTAAGGACTGCTATAGGAAACCTTAAGTGCACAGAAAACCTTAAATGCACAATGGACCTTTTTAAAAAAGGCACAGCAAAAACAACATGCATTTCATTTCCTACCAGTCCCCTGGGGTGCTTGGGGCTGGATGAAGCTCTCCTGGGCAGCTGGCAGAACCTCTGTGGTGCACACTGACTGTCCGCCTTGACGCGCCGAGGAAGCGGCCCAGCTAGGCTGAAATGGGAGAGAGAGTGAATGAAATTTTCAGTCTAGAGGGGGTTGTACATGGTCAAAGGGATCAGGTGGGGCCTCTGCACAAGCCAAAAACAGCCAAGAGGGTCCAGGGAGGGGCCAAGACATCATTGTGCATTTAAGGTTTTCTGTGCACTTAAGGACTGCTATAGGAAACCTTAAGTGCACAGAAAACCTTAAATGCACAATGGACCTTTTAAAAAAGGCACAGCAAAACAACATGCATTTCATTTCCTACCAGTCCCCTGGGTGCTTGGGGCTGGATGAAGCTCTCCTGGGCAGCTGGCAGAACCTCTGTGGTGCACACTGACTGTCCGCCTTGACGCCGAGGAAGCGGCCCAGCTAGGCTGAAATGGGAGAGAGAGTGAATGAAATTTTCAGTCTAGAGGGGTTGTACATGGTCAAAGGGATCAGGTGGGGCCTCTGCACCAGCCAAAAACAGCCAAGAGGGTCCAGGGAGGGGCCAAGATATTGTGCATTTAAGGTTTTCTGTGCACTTAAGGACTGCTATAGGAAACCTTAAGTGCACAGAAAACCTTAAATGCACAATGGACCTTTTTAAAAAGGCACAGCAAAAACAACATGCTTTTCATTTCCTACCAGTCCCCTGGGGTGCTTGGGCTGGATGAAGCTCTCCTGGGCAGCTGGCAGAACCTCTGTGGTGCACACTGACTGTCCGCCTTGACGCCCGAGGAAGCTGCCCAGCTAGGCTGAAATGGGAGAGAGAGTGAATGAAATTTTCAGTCTAGAGGGGTTGTACATGGTCAAAGGGATCAGGTGGGGCCTCTGCACCAGCCAAAAACAGCCAAGAGGGTCCAGGGAGGGGCCAAGATTATCATTGTGCATTTAGGTTTTCTGTGCACTTAAGGACTGCTATAGGAAACCTTAAGTGCACAGAAAACCTTAAATGCACAATGGACCTTTTAAAAAGGCACAGCAAAACAACATGCATTTCATTTCCTACCAGTCCCCTGGGGTGCTTGGGCTGGATGAAGCTCTCCTGGGCAGCTGGCAGAACCTCTGTGGTGCACACTGACTGTCCGCCTTTTGACGCCGAGGAAGCTGCCCAGCTAGGCTGAAATGGGAGAGAGAGTGAATGAAATTTTCAGTCTAGAGGGGGTTGTACATGGTCAAAGGGATCAGGTGGGGCCTCTGCACCAGCCAAAACAGCCAAGAGGGTCCAGGGAGGGGCTAAGACATCATTGCATTTAGGTTTCTGTGCACTTAAGGACTGCTATAGGAAACCTTAAGTGCACAGAAAACCTTAAATGCACAATGGACCTTTTAAAAAGGCACAGCAAAACAACATGCATTTCATTTCCTACCAGTCCCCTGGGGTGCTTGGGGCTGGATGAAGCTCTCCTGGGCAGCTGGCAGAACCTCTGTGGTGCACACTGACTGTCCGCTTTGACGCCGAGGAAGCTGCCCAGCTAGGCTGAAATGGGAGAGAGAGTGAATGAAATTTTCAGTCTAGAGGGGGTTGTACATGGTCAAAGGGATCAGGTGGGGCCTCTGCACCAGCCAAAAACAGCCAAGAGGGTCCAGGGAGGGGCCAAGACATCATTGTGCATTTAGGTTTTCTGTGCACTTAAGGACTGCTATAGGAAACCTTAAGTGCACAGAAAACCTTAAATGCACAATGGACCTTTTTAAAAAAGGCACAGCAAAACAACATGCATTTCATTTCCTACCAGTCCCCTGGGGTGCTTGGGGCTGGATGAAGCTCTCCTGGGCAGCTGGCAGAACCTCTGTGGTGCACACTGACTGTCCGCCTTTGACGCCGAGGAAGCGGCCCAGCTAGGCTGAAATGGGAGAGAGAGTGAATGAAATTTTCAGTCTAGAGGGGGTTGTACATGGTCAAAGGGATCAGGTTGAAAGGGGTGTTGAAAATGCCATGAAAATGATTTGATATTAATTACTTTAGAGGGAAGTTAAGTTGGAAATAATTGAAAGTGATTTTAACTGGCAATAAGTAAACTCAGTAAGACTTGCCAAAGTACCAAAACACCCTGGCAGTATGGTATCTTTGGAGGGATATACTTTGCCAGACATTTAAACTGGCCGAGGTGTTGACATGGTGTTGTTGTTTTTTTATCCTTAATATATTTATCTGCACCTTCACACCAGAAACTAGTAATTTTACCATTTGGAGGGATTCCTCAGGTACTTCAGATACACTACCCAAATTCCCGAAATATTTGTTGCCATGATAGGTTACCCTGGGATATATATCTCAAATATTTGTTTCAATTTTGTAGTGCCTTGATAGCCATGGAAAGGTAGCTTTGGATACTTTGGCCTGCCTGGGTAACCTTTCCTTCCTTCATAAGACGCCCCATCAGAGCTGACGCTATTGAAATACGTGGAGTTTAATTAGATCTGGCAATATGTACGTACATGAACATATGTATTGTATAAGTATTTAGTTGGTTGACAAGAGATGTTATTCTGTTTGGTTGGAGAGTTATGATAAGTCAGGACTGAGCAATGACAATATTGACATGTGAATGTTTCCATCGCAACGCAAGGTACCGTGGTTGTTCTCGAGGAGGCTTTCTCGCTTGAACTCCTTCACCATGGGAGGTTGCGTCGCAAAACTTCAATACAGCACATTATATTGAATAAACGGCACGTATACTTCATGTTTACATATACATCATATGCATATTGTAGCTGTCACATTGTATAAGGCAATAACAGACGAAGCAGCATAGGTCAACTCCCTCTACTAGTTCCGCGGAAGATACTGTGCCGTGTATGTGACGTAGTGACATAAGCTCCGCCCACTCATGAATATTCATGATTTCTGTGCACTTAAGACCATTGTGCGTTTAAGGGCACAACAAACGTCCGCTCGTCGACCTCACATGCGTGTGTGTTGTTTGAATCCCATTTCAGTGTGCTCCGAAGTGATATCACTAGAATATAATGTCGTCCGGTAATTCCGCGCACCTAAGCACATCGATCGCAACACGGCAACTAACGTCTCTGTGGTTTACGTGACTAAACATGCTGGTATGCATCATATTGACCTAGAAATACAAGTTTTAGACGACTATAAGATTCTAACGTTGCATTATGCCATACGGTTGACCTTACCCGCGTTCTGACGACATCGCTTGCTGTCCGTATATTCTGCGCAGCAACTCACGCGCAAAACATCCAGCTGGAGATCCGAAGTATGGAAGCGTATTAGGGCCAGATTATTGTCAAAAATCACTTCATCAATGTAAGGAGGAGTGTTTCATATTAAATCCAGTTATGAAAAATGAAGAAAAAGGTTGAAAAGTCTGAAGAAAACGAAGTTTCATAAAACTGTCAATTTATCTGTCAATTACTGTTATTTACTTACCTTTATGATTAAAAGCCAGTCCCTTGTAGAAATGTCCCGATTTCAAGCGTAAATGTGGTAGTAGACGATGTTTACCTTCGATACGGAAGTACGCTATTGCAGCTGCGCAGAATTACCGGACTCGCTTGTATTGATAAAAATGGCGTGAAGCTATCCTCACTCACTGCATGCATGAATAGTACATCTAAATAAATCTCAATATGTACACCCAATACACACTCAGTTTCACACATGGAGAGTGATGGAACCTTGCTTAGGGCAATATGTAGGTTGGTGGTTGGTTGGTTGGTTGGGTGGTTGCTGGCTTGTTGCACTCAGCAATATTCCAGCTATATGGCGGCGGTCTGTAAATAATTCAGTCTGGACCAGACAATCCAGTGATCAGCATGAGCATCATTCGACACAACTGAGATACGATGACATGTGTCAACCAAGTCAGAAAGCCTGCTCACCCGATCCCGTTAGTCGCCTCTTACGACAAGCATGAGTTACTGAAGACCAATTTTAACCCGGATGTTCACGGGTCGCAACATGCAGGACAAGCTTTCCTTTAAGGGGTGACAACTGAATGTCGTCTAATGTTTCCGGGTTGATTTTCAGTATCATTTCATCATATGAAAGTACGGCACAGCTTTGGTGACTTTACACAAATTGATTTAGATACGGGACTTTCCTCGAGTTTGACGGGCATAGAATCATTTAGGATTATTCCTGTGGTGACCTTGACCTTTCTCTTTACGACGTTTACAAAGGAAGTATTACATTACAAACGCACAAGTGTTTACATACCAAGTGTTGGTGAATGTTCGTGAACTTCGCTTTCTTGAATATGTCACTTTACAAACAATTCTCATTTTGATCCCTGATGTGTTGCAACCATGGTGACTGTTGATAGGTCCTTAAGTAGACCTACGTGCACCGTGAAATATTGAGAATGTATGAAATGAATCATTCTTTAGACATTGTAAAAACAGAAACTGTCTGGCACAAGATATAAGTCCATTGAAAACGTTCTCGTGACTATGTACTCTCTCACCATTCATTTCCCGGAATCTCGGAGCTTTTGGACATAGGGTTTGATAACAGTTTCGTGTATCTATGTTGCTGTCAATTGTTTAACGTCGCACTCATCAGGATTGACCACCACCGATCACGTCAGTGCCCTCCTACGACAAGTATGGGTTGCTGCATATAAATTCTGAATGGGATTTTCATGGTTTTATTTGATAGTTTCAGAAGCGATAATGTTGGTGTGATTAGTAAGATTATCCAGGCTAACACAAAGTTTTCGCAAATCTGTGGGAAGGTTGTATATTGGTAACGTCATAATACAACGTTGTCACAACATAATTTTATAACGGTATGTTACAACGTATTTAGCAACGTTGCAAATTTACGTTGACGAAACGTTATGCTTTGGGCTCCTCACAATGTTGTAACAACGTTTCTTACAATTTGGTGTCAAGATAGAGTTTTCTGAGAAACCTTTCACTTTGAGATTCTTTCTTCACTTTTCAGCTTCGGAAAACATACGACCAAAACAACATGCAAATTGACGAATAAGCATTGAAGTAATATCTGCTTTGTTTCTTATGTTCCGTTCACTACTGGGAAAACTATTCAAACAATAACGATAAATAGAACGTTAAGACGACGTAAAATACGTTAGCATCAAATAAGTCTAACCTTCTGGTGACGTAAAAATGACGCATCACAAGGTCACGTCATAACGTTGTGACATGGCAAATGGGAGTCCACAGAACAACAACGAAAGCATAACGTTGTGACAACGTGAAATTGTTAGCTGGGATTTGATCGCGGTGGTAAACAGGGATCACTATAAGAACAGCGCTTTAGAATGCGCATCTCCTGCAGTTTTGAACGTTTCATTAATGCAATAGATGGTTGGCGACGACTGTGAATACAAGCAAACACTCAAAAAGCAGTACTGGTGCATTGATTGGAGACCCGGAAACTGGAGGCGTATCTTGGATGAAGGCATTGACACGGGTCAGACTTCCGTTGTTCGGCGCTGGCTCTATTTTGAGCAGTTTACAAACAAGAGGGTAGATGTCGACATTCTTGATCGGATCGGATGTGAAGTTGGTTTTGAAGTTGGGTCCCCTCGCCAGGAATATAGGCTTCATTGACATCAATGCGTTGTCGTAACCGTGGGTGGCTTTTAGAGTACTTTTGGCCTTTTTGGTCTTGTTCTGAAAATGTATGAGAAGAAATTGTGATGACTGAGTGAGGAGGGTTAAGCGCCGCTTCGGACAGTGTATCAGTTATGTCGGAGCTTCACGGCAGGATGTGGGAGGAGACCCGACAAGATTCGGTTCTCACACATTCACCGTTTGTTGGAGCTTACGAACACGGATATGGTAAACTATAGGTTGTTGTCGTAGCCATGGGTGGCTTTTAAAGTGCTGCGTGCCACTTTGTCCTTTTTCTGCAAAGACATCCAGTGTACAGTGGGAATCGTTATTCTTCTTGAGTAGTGTGCTGCCTTTATATGCAGAGAGAGAGAGAGAGGAAGAGAGAGGAGAGAGAGGGGGCAGAGAGGGGAGACAGAAAGAGAGGGAGACACACAGAGAAAGAGGGAGGGGAGAGAGAGGGAGAGAAAGAGCGCTCTGTGTGAGCTATGCACTAACCATGTTTCTTAAACATACTTATCATGACCTTGACCCCAAATTGTCACCCACAGCACATCACGGTTACGGCCCCTTATATAATGCGCATGACTCTGGTCATCCCAAACTTACAGTGGTCAGCTGCCATCCCTCATCTGCTATGATGACGATGGGCATGATCCTTCTGTTGTTCCGGTAATGGAAATGCTCAGGAATGTCGTCCTTCTTATAGGCTGTGATGTTGGAGACGCCCTCCAGATCCGCCATGATGTTGTCATCCTGTCCGTCTTTCGGTAGAATGTGCATCACCGGACCGTACATCGGCACACTGTCAATCAGCGTCATGTTGACATGGTCAGTTATGTCCACCACCTGAAAAAAGACAGCACTTTCATAATGGCCGAATTCACGTGTTTCAGTTAGCTAATCCTAGTAAATATTCTAACTTGTATGTATTGAGAAACAGATCAACAACGAATCGAGCACATTTGGTGACAGTTTGGATGCCTACTTCTTACTCAAGATCAAGATCAAGATGGTTTATTGTACATAAGGCCTCTGGCCCGTATACATAGTATTGTAATGACAGGCAAGGTATTGACATTGCAAACAGTGGAAAGCATCATAACATTGTTAGGTTAGTTGACAGGAGAAATTAGACTCTTCCTTAAAGACAGCGAATGTGTTAAAAACAGGGCTAATTTTAGACAGATTCGTCTTTTGATGATAAAATTCTTATAAGTGTTTCCCTTCTTACTCCAATGTCCAACCCTAAAGGATAAGATAGATGGTTATTCATAAACAAATCAAGCACTTCACATATCGTTTTCTCAGTAAAACACAAATTATGTTAGTAATTTTGATTGACAAATTGACTCATTAATGCTTTAAGTAGTCTTAGATACACATGTGACGATCTACATGTGACCTACAACAAGTCCCCTGCAGCCCCTAGACGCTGTGAATATCCAGTCATTCAAGGCTCATTACAGGAGACATCAGCTCAATCACCTTGCTGATTGCATAGGGCCTCTAACTGTCCTACCTGGGTATAATGTCACCCTGGATGTAGTGCCATAATTTCTCCTGGACAAACGGTGGCGTTAAATCCAGGGTATACTGTATTTTGGACAATTATATACACGTTTTTTAAAGAGTTTTAGTAATATCACTTATCAGTTTCAGGTTTATGAATGAAAGCCGAAGTGACCAACTTCCTTCACCAATTTGGTATAACCCAAAACGCAACGACACGGTGCTGACAAAGAAGAGCGGATTTGGGATTCGACCCCCAACTGTAACACCAAGACACGCTTCTTACATTTAACCCAGGGAATGAATACTACGAATATCTCAAGGTGCAATGCCTTTGCCAACAAGAAAACACGTTAATCCTCACTTTTGATCTTTTGGTAGCACGTTTATGAGCATAGCTTTTTACTTTTGTAACAGTTCGATACAAAAGAGTAAATTTGTACTATTAGGGCTTTTGAGGACCCTAAAATGAATTCGCCACAAGCGGGAATTCGACACATCTAGTTCGAGACATCAGGGTAAAAATAATGAGTTCGACACAACCGTGAATTCGTCTCAACCGAGTTCGAAACATTGGGGTTCGGCTGTACATGGAAATATATAAGTGAAAACCTTACATGTAGGTGACACAATAAATGCTCAAATTGGTGAAATATGTCATTCTTAAACTACACCCCGATACCCTCAGTTAGCCATGCTTAAAGACACGTGAACTTACTTTATTGATATTGTCAACATCAACCATGCCATGGTCACTGGTAACGATGACGTTGACCGTGTTTTCAAGGTCATTATCCTTCAACTTTTCCATGAGGTAACCAAGGATACCATCCATGTATTTGACCTTGTCCTTAACTTGCTGAGAGTCTGGACCATAACCGTGCCCAGTATGGTCGGGTTCCGGGTAATACAGGGTGGCCATTCTGACATCTTTGTTCTTGAACCAGTCAATCACTGTATCCACTCGCTCCTTGTACGGTGTCTTGTCACTGTATTTGAACCAAATGTCAGGGCGAAAACCTCGGATCTCAACCTCGCTGCCTGGCCAGTAGTAGGTGCCCGTCTTCAGACCCTGGAAGTTGAACATACAAACATTGAGTAAGTGTGATATCACGTGTATGTGAGCAATATGTCACCAATGAACAATGACAGGGGCAATGAAATAAGCTTCACAAATTGTGCCCCATGAGGACTTGAACCCGGGTCTTCGGCGTGACGAGCAATATGTCAATATGTCAGCAATGAACAATGACAGGGTCAATGAAATTAGCTTCACAAACTGTACCCCATGATGACTTGAACCCGGGCCTTCGGCGTGACGAGCAATATGTCAATATCAGCAATGAACAATGACAGGGACAATGAAATTAGCTTCACAAATTGTACCCCATGAGGACTTAAACCCGGGCCTTCGGCGTGACGAGCGAATGCTTTCGCCACTGGGATATCTCAAAGTGATTTTGGCAGTTTCAGCTTCATGAAGGACTTAAAGCCGAAGTGATCAACTTGGTTCACCAATTTGTATCCCTCTGAGGAATCGGCCCCGGGCCTTCAGCGTGGCGAACGTAAGCTTGCACCACTGGGAACCCTCACCGCCTTTTCTTTTGTAACTTCATATCAGTTTTGAAGGTGTCTCTGTTCCTTCTTCTCGCCACAGTTTGAACCAATTTCCTGAGAGACCAGCCTCACCTCGATCTATCCTCCTACACATGCAACTACAACTCTTACGCAAACTATTTCCGATGAAGTTTCAACTGTAAACTTATGTAAAAGCTTGTTGTTTAACGCCGTACTCATGCCAGATGACAACGAGGGAGGCGTTTAGTATGGAATGTATTGCATTTCTCAACTTTTAGTATACCTTCTTCTTGGCCGTGACCCACAGTGGCTCTCCCTCGTCCCACCACCGTGACTCCGTGGTGCCCATGCCGAAGCTGGCATTGAACATGGGGTCGTACATGTGGTTGCCAATAATACCATGACTCTCCTCCCACAGACCTGCATCGGAAACAGATAACGTACGTTTTGTCTGAGCGTAAGATTCCATACGAACATTAAGGAGGCCTGTACATGTGAACAGTAATTTAGCGCCACCAGAATCCAAGGTCAATTTCAAAAGTTTTGGTCCTAACATGCGATCATGCCCATACATACTGGATTGCACATGTAAAGCACGTGCTTCACATAATATCCCCAAAGCTATGTTCACGTGCAGCGAAGGAGTTAATCAAACTGGGGTAAAAGAATCATACTGGTTGTGCGTGCAGAACAGTTTTCCGAGTGAGTGAGTGAGTTTAGTTATACGCCGCACTCAGCAATATTCCTGATCCCACCTGATCCCGTTAGTCGCCTCTTACGACAAGCACGATTTACTGAAGGCCAATATTCTGACCCGGACCTTCACAGGTACATTTTTCAGAACTGATTGAAAGACGACAGCACTAAAAACTAGCTTGTGATGACATTTGAAGACGTAGACTTTCAATACATACACGCGATCTGATTTTGCCTGCTGAAATTTTAAGGGTTAGATGAAATATTGAAATTATCAGACATGTCTTAAATCATGCATTCATATACTCAGCAGCCAAAAAACAACAACGTCAGTACGAATTCAAAATTAGATAGGCACTCTTATCAAATCATTACAGAAATGGACATAATAAGCGGATCAAAACCATTTTTTGTGTACACTTGTGTACTTGACACATCAATTTCAAGACATAACGTGAACGTTTGCAGTCCATTCAGACCCTTGACTTCAGTATCTAGTGTGACCACCACGAGTGGCAAGAACTGCAGCACAGCGTCTATGCATGGAGTGCACCAATCGATTGATGGAAGCCATTGGCACCTGGAACCACACTCTGAGAAAGGCCTGGCGCAATAAATCGGCTGTGTTCAGCCTTGGTATGACATTATTCAGTCTGCTCTGAATTTCATCCCAAAGATGTTCAACTGGGTTTAGATCAGGACTAAGGGCTGGCCACTGCATAATGTTGACACCGTTCTGCTGTAGGAAGTCCCGTGTAGCTCTGGCAGTATGGGCCCGGGCATTATGATGCTGGAAAATGTTGTTCCGGTGACGTGCGAAATGTGGTATGACGTGGGGTCTGAGAGCTTGGTCGATGTAGCGCACCGCTGTGATGCCGCCTCCTCACCCTGGACCAAGGTTCTGGAACACCACAGGACCCACTCTCTTGTTAAGGCCTATTCCACCCCATACCATGATGCTTGCACCTCCCCATGAGTCTCTTTCCATAACACATTGGTCTGAGTAACGCTGGCCACGTCGTCGCCATATTCTTGTTCTGCCATCTGCAGTTGATACACAATATCGACTCTCATCTGTGAACAGAACAGTTCTCCATTGCCTGTATCGCTAGTTTTGGATGTTGTAGGGCAAACTGTAGACGTTCACGTTCACGAGGGGTGAGGATAGGTCCACGGTAAGGTCTACGGCAATGGAGGTTCCCGTTGTTAAGACGTCGGCGTACTGTATGAGTACTGATTGGTCTTCCGTGTGTTCCCACTGTCTGGCGTGCTGTTTCGGATGCCTGCATGAAGGGATTCTGTACATGCTGTCGCACAACATAGCGGTCTTGTCGTCTTGTGGTCACCCTTGGTCTGCCAGTACGGGGGCGATCATATGTGGTGTTGGTGCGCCAGAAACGTTGCTGCAGTCTGTAAATGGTCCAAACGTTGACCTGGAAGTGATTGGCAACGGCTTGTGCAGTGTGGTCAGCTTCAAGTCTTCCTAGCGCCTGGTTGCTCTGAGCTGTCGTGAGTCGCGGCATCCTGCTGACGTTGTAATGTGAATGTTTCAACCAGGTTTGGGGGTGCATTTTATAGGGCTGGTCCTTGTGAACAGCAGGTGCAGCATGATTTGAATGAAAAACATGGAGAACACCGTACCATCTCGAGATCAGGTTGCGTTTTTGAGACCATTTCCTGGGTTCCATTCTGAGTTTGGGAAGGAATGTCTTTGCTAAGGTAAAGTTGGAGATGTTGTCAAAAATATACAATCAAAACATGAAATGAGTTTACAGGTATCCGTTTCTGCGAAGGAAAATTCCAAACTGACGTTTCTTTTGCCGCTTAGTATATAATTTAACCTCAATGAAATTTGTCTTTGACGATTTCTAATGAGCGGACCAGAAAATCAAATGGAGTTAAGTATATGGCCCAGGGAAAACATTGTACTGATATTTCCTGACCTAAAGTAAATGTATTTTGGCGAAAATTCGCACGTTTCTGATAGCATCTGCCATGGACCTTTTTAACTTGCTTTAACTTTATCTTAACTCACCTGTCACTATGGTGTAATGGTTTGGAAATGTCAACGTCGTGAAGCTGTTGTTCATGTAGGGTAGCTTCACGCCTTGTCTGGCGAAGTCGTCAAAGTTGGGGGTGTCCACCATGTCAAGATAGTCGTATCGGAAGCCGTCCATGGAGATGAGCAGCACCTTCCCGGTGTAGTCCGCCATGACAGACATCGCCAGACCCGCGAGGAGCAGGACAAAGATGGTGGAGGACATGGTGTGAAAACCTACTGAAACACGGAAAATCACAGTTAAGTTCCTCTAGACTCAGGAGCAAGGGAAACAGATAACTATAGGGAGTGTGGCCGTGTTTGATGTGTGTACAACTTTGGCTCGGTGGTACTGATTCTACGACAGCCATGACACTGATAATCACACGTGTTGTTTGAATAAACAACGGTTGCTCATAAGCAGGTTTTCCTTTTACCGTAAATACTGTTTGCCGCCGGGTATGTTGTAGACAGGAATGACTAGAACGAAGTTACCAGACAATTAATGTCCGTCGAAAAATGATGTCATCTCTTCCGAGACGTTATCTACAACAGAAAAACACTCGGGACCTTCCCGATTGTCCACGTATGGCGTCACGTGAACAAGAAAACTTTTTTTGGGGTGGAGTATCTACGGAATCGATACCATACAGCCACATGAACACCACGATCAATTGTTGGCTTGAATCCAAGTACAGACAGAACCTGTACACTGGCTGAAGGAGCACATCATTTGGCCAAGACGTCTATCGACACGCCCAGTGTTTCTTCCACGTCACCACCAGGCGTACCGAGCTTGGTGTACAAAACATCTGAGGCTCAGAAGATAAATCTCAGACGGTATACTGCTCTCAGATGATTCCATGTGTCAGCGGGACAGATTTGAGGGTCGTGCAAGGTCAAACACGCCTTCATGTTGACGTTTTATCGATGCCTTCGTTACTAACTCCTATCGGTTTGGTTTGGAAGTGGAACAGTTTTGTGTTCTGTCGACTGCAGGACGCAATTCGTCATTGATGATGGCTATTAGAAAGTCGAACGTTAACGGGGCACCGTTCGAGATGATGTTCAAATGCAGGGATAAGATATTATCCAGGCGATATACGCGTTGAAACAAACTTTTAGAGGAAGCATAGCATTACTGACCGGCCTTTTCTTCAGACCCTCTCCTACGTAGACAATACCTAGGATTAGTTGGGTGTACGCTAACAACAGGACCAGAGACAGACGGTAACTTTAGCTCAGTTAGGGCAGGGTTTTGTTGACGTTTGGAACAACATCCCGCGGGCAGTTTTCAGTCATCTGGGGTAATCAATACGTCACCGCCGCCTCGCATACATCTACGCAGGGGCGGTGGAGTAGCCTAGTGGTTAAAGTGTTCGCTCGTCACGATGAAGAACGGGTTCGATTTCCCACATGTTTACAATGTGTGAAATCCATTTTTGGTGTCTCCCGCCGTGATATTGCTGGAAATATTGCTAAAAGCGTTGTAAAACTAAACTTATCACTCACATCTACGCAAAAGGTAGTCTGATCACCTCTAATAAGGGCCCCATTCTGTGTCCCCTGCTACCACATATTGGGTTTATAAATGAATGTTTATCATTTAAACATTATCAGATGAAAGAACAAATTGAACACTCGTGGAAAATGTTCATAATACATCTGATGTGATTGAGAGAAGATATGAATGTAGTCTATACACAACAGAACAAAATACATATGCAAATACCCACATTCAGGTTAAAGTCAGTGAAGGACCCGGCGGGTCTAAAGTCAATAACCTGGGTGGCCACCCTGTGAAGCAACGCAAGTATCGTGGGCACTTTGGCTGACGATCGCCTCCCAAATGACGCCTAGCCATTGCTATAATAGCATGTAGTTTTCAAAACGAATCAGGAATAAAGTGTTGTGGACCCACCCCTGTATTTGAAGAGACAGTTATCCCATTTAAACAGCCCGGGGTATATGCCTACAGCGTTCCCTCAGGGATTCATTTGGGGCGGTGGGGTAGCCTTATGGTTAACGCGTCCGCTCGACACGCTGAAGACCCGGGTTCGATTCCCCACATGGGTACAATGTGTGAAGCCCATTTCTGGTGTCCCCCGCCGTGATATTGCTGGAATATTGCTAAAAGCGCTTTATCCTGCTGAAACGTGTGCCTATCTTGATGTAGTCTGTCTCACAGTCCCTGAACCCCATTATTTTCCCCACTGCCAAGCCCTCTCTGCAGTGCTAAAGCCCTAAATAAAGCAAGTCTACATTTCCTCAGGTTCTGAATCTCTGGTCTCCCTTGGGCTCCTTTTCAATTTAAATGGGCTTGTTTATTACTATCAAAATTATTTATATTCAGAGACTAAGCATTAGTCTAATCTTGATGCTGACGGAAGAGTAGGCCGACGTGATGACTCAGAATGTTGTCCCTGTGACCCCAGTCCATGCTTAAAACACCGCAGTTGCCCGTCTGTAGAACAGTCATCGTGATAGGGTCCTCCACTGTTACGCCATACACGTAAATCACCATCTCCATTTGGGTTCATCTGGTGAAACGCTATGTAAACGGTGTCATCTCCAATGATGATGTCTCTCGACCCATATATCTGTCTGTCTGTCTGCCTGTGTGTGTCTGTCCGTCTGCTTGTGTCTGTCTGTCTTTCTGTCTGTCTAAAGTGGTAAATAAAGAATAAAGAAAACCCGTGTAACGGTCATAGCATTTGGTGTCATTGTACATCATGTTGACAGGTGTGGCCCGGACAGAGAAAACCCCGTGTAACGGTCATAGCATTTGGTGTCATTGTACATCATGTAGACAGGTGTGGCCCGGACAAAGAAAACCCCGTGTAACGGTCATAGCATTTGGTGTCATTGTACATCATGTAGACAGGCGTGGCCCGGACAAAGAGAAACCCCGTGTAACGGTCATAGCATTTGGTGTCATTGTACATCATGTAGACAGGTGTGGCCCGGACAGAGAAAACCCCGTGTAACGGTCATAGACATTGGTGTCATTGTACATCATGTTGACAGGTGTTTACGGCCACGGAAATTACCCCGGACAGAGAAAACCCCGTGTAACGGTCATAGCATTTGGCATCATTGTACATCATGTTGACAGGCGTGGCCCGGACATTACCCCGGACAGATAAAACCCCGTGTAACGGTCATAGCATTTGGTGCCATTGTACATCATGTAGACAGGCGTGGCCCCGACAGAGAAAACCCCGTGTAACGGTCATAGCATTTGGTGCCATTGTACATCAGGTTGACAGGCGTGGCCCGGACAGAGAAAACCCACTGGTAACTCCCTCACAGGACAATACTCCTGACATAATAGAATCATACGCCCCACCCAGTTAGGTAGGCAGTTTAGGAATCTTTACGTGTCCACCATAAATGGTCTGGAACCAGGCCTTGATTTATAAAACCTTGATTGAAAAGGTTACTTGTAAGCAAAATACATTTGTGTTTCTTTCCACGAATCTTTAAAACGTACCACTGCAATGTACCTCGGTCATTTAGGAAACCTCGACACCAGCCGTAGAAGCTGATGCTATATTGCTCCGTATGAAGGGGAAAGTCACGATTGGAAAATAGAACTCCCCCTTTGTTGTAAAAGTGCTGTGTTGAGCAGAATGTCAAAGTTGGTTGCTGACAACTCGGTGATGGCAGAGAGGAATCGCTCCTCCTGGATCAGTGCAGTAGCTCCACACAACTGTGATGGTGTTGAGTAACGTGATGTGATAACGATGTTTTTACACCGTCAAAGGTCCAATGCGATCGTGCTAAATACCCCTTATTATCTGGCACACGTATATCAAACTGAAAGATAGATATACATTACTACAGGATCCACGTTAGGGGCTGGTCATTTATTACAGGAGGGGTTTCACGGATTTTGTATACACTCAGCAATATCCCAGCTATGTGGCGGCGGTCTCTATATAATTGATCTACGCAAGGGGGATGCGATGACATGTGTCAACAAAGTCAGCGAGCCAGGCCACCTGAATCCGATAGTCGCCTCTAACGACAAGCATGACTTGCTGAAGACCAATTCGAACCCGGATCTTCACGGGTCTGCACTGAAAATAATTACCCTCCCCTAACTATTGCACTTCCAGATGTAGTTCACAACGCCCCTATTCACATGACCAGCTGAAGTCAAACAGTCCCGTCCGCGTATGAAATCATTTAACGCTTTATGCTAAAGGTACTGTTATGGAGTGGATGATCCCTTCATGAGTAATAAGAAGCATTCATATGTTACCGAGATCCTGCTTGTGAGTGTGCAAATATTTTGTCTTTACTTGGACAGAGATTGATTTCATACGGGCTATTTGTCATTTCTGTTGAAGGGACTTCAAGTGTTTGTCTCGTTAGCAGAAGTGTTTCCTTCTTGCTTTAAAATATATTCTATATTTGTCGTTTTCAAGTTCACATGGCCGACTAGCGTTAAATACACACTGGCTCAGTGCAAAGTCTGAGCTTTAACCACAATCTGATGTTTCCCACCAACACCAGATACCTTTGGGGCACCAAAACCGCCACATCAGTCAGTTACACCAGCACCAACAGTAACACCAGCACCAGCACCAGCACCAGCACCAGCACCAGCACCAGCACCAGCACCAGCACCAGCACCAGCACCAGCACCAGCACCAGCACCAACATCAACACCACAACCAACGCCAACACCAGCACCAACACCAGCACCATCACCAGCACCAGCACCAGCACCACTGGTCCTCCACTGTTACGCCATACACGTAAATCACCATCTCCATTTGGGTTCATCTGGTGAAATGCTATGTAAACGGTGTCATCTACAATGATGATGTCTCTCGACCCATATATCTGTCTGTCTGTCTACCTGTGTGTGTCTGTCCGTCTGCTTGTGTCTGTCTGTCTTTCTGTCTGTCTAAAGTGGTAAATAAAGAATAAAGAAAACCCCGTGTAACGGTCATAGCATTTGGTGTCATTGTACATCATGTTGACAGGTGTGGCCCGGACAGAGAAAACCCCGTGTAACGGTCATAGCATTTGGTGTCATTGTACATCATGTAGACAGGCGTGGCCCGGACAAAGAAAACCTCGTGTAACGGTCATAGCATTTGGTGTCATTGTACATCATGTAGACAGGTGTGGCCCGGACAAAGAAAACCCCGTGTAACGGTCATAGCATTTGGTGTCATTGTACATCATGTAGACAGGCGTGGCCCGGACAGAGAAAACCCCGTGTAACGGTCATAGCATTTGGTGTCATTGTACATCATGTAGACAGGTGTGGCCCGGACAAAGAAAACCCCGTGTAACGGTCATAGCATTTGGTGTCATTGTACATCATGTAGACAGGCGTGGCCCGGACAGAGAACACCCCGTGTAACGGTCATAGCATTTGGTGTCATTGTACATCATGTTGACAGGTGTGGCCCGGACAAAGAAAACCCCGTGTAACGGTCATAGCATTTGGTATCATTGTACATCATGTTGACAGGCGTGGCCCGGACATTACCCCGGACAGAGAAAACCCCGTGTAACGGTCATAGCATTTGGTGTCATTGTACATCATGTTGACAGGCGTGGCCCGGACATTACCCCGGACAGAGAAAACCCCGTGTAACGGTCATAGCATTTGGTGTCATTGTACATCATGTAGACAGGCGTGGCCCGGACAGAGAACACCCCGTGTAACGGTCATAGCATTTGGTGTCATTGTACATCATGTTGACAGGTGTGGCCCGGACAAAGAAAACCCCGTGTAACGGTCATAGCATTTGGTGTCATTGTACATCATGTAGACAGGTGTGGCCCGGACAGAGAAAACCCCGTGTAACGGTCATAGCATTTGGTGTCATTGTACATCATGTTGACAGGCGTGGCCCGGACAGAGAAAACCCCGTGTAACGGTCATAGCATTTGGTGTCATTGTACATCATGTAGACAGGCGTGGCCCGGACAGAGAAAACCCCGTGTAACGGTCATAGCATTTGGTGTCATTGTACATCATGTTGACAGGTGTGGCCCGGACAGAGAAAACCCCGTGTAACGGTCATAGCATTTGGTGTCATTGTACATCATGTAGACAGGTGTGGCCCGGACAAAGAAAACCCCGTGTAACGGTCATAGCATTTGGTATCATTGTACATCATGTAGACAGGTGTGGCCCGGACAGAGAAAACCCCGTGTAAAGGTCATAGCATTTGGTGTCATTGTACATCATGTAGACAGGTGTGGCCCGGACAAAGAAAACCCCGTGTAACGGTCATAGCATTTGGTGCCATTGTACATCATGTAGACAGGCGTGGCCCGGACAGAGAAAACCCCGTGTAACGGTCATAGCATTTGGTGCCATTGTACATCATGTAGACAGGTGTGGCCCGGACAGAGAAAACCCACTGGTAACTCCCTCACAGGACAATACTCCTGACATAATAGAATCATACGCCCCACCCAGTTACATAGGTAGTTTAGGAATCTTTACGTGTCCACTTTAAATTGTCTGGAACCAGGCCTTGATTTATAAAACCTTGATTGAAAAGGTTACTGGTAAGCCAAATACATTTGTGTTTCTTTCCACGAATCTTTAAAACGTACCACTGCAATGTACCTCGGTCATTTAGGAAACCTCGACACCAGCCGTAGAAGCTGATGCTATATTGCTCCGTATGAAGGGGAAAGTCACGATTGGAAAATAGAACTCCCCCCTTTGTTGTAAAAGTGCTGTGTTGAGCAGAATGTCAAAGTTGGTTGCTGACAACTTGGATACTCACGTTTCAGTGATGGCAGAGAGGGAATCGCTCCTCCTGGATCAGTGCAGTAGCTCCACACAACTGTGGTGAGGGGTGTTGAGTAACGTGATGTGATAACGATGTTTTTACACCGTCAAAGGTCCAATACGGTCGTGCTAAATACCCCTTATTATCTGGCACACGTATATCAAACTGAAAGATAGATATACATTACTACAGGATCCACGTTAGGGGCTGGTCATTTATTACAGGAGGGGTTTCATGGATTTTGTATGCACTCAGCAATATCCCAGCTATGTGGCTGCGGTCTGTATATAATCAATCTACGTAAGGGGGGATGCAATGACATGTGTCAACAAAGTCAGCGAGCCAGGCCACCTGAATCCGATAGTCGCCTCTAACGACAAGCATGACTTGCTGAACCCGGCTGAACCAATTCGAACCCGGATCTTCACGGGTCTGCACTGAAAATAATTACCCTCCCCTAACTATTGCACTTCCAGATGTAGTTCACAACGCCCCTATTCACATGACCAGCTGAAGTCAAACAGTCCCGTCCGTGTATGAAATCATTTAACAGACAGACAGACATATTTTATTCAGTTATATTGGCCAACTGGCCCATGTTACAATTGTTGTTACAACACTTTTGTTGTCACGTCGTAAGAAAATAGAAAAGCAATATTTAAACACTGTTTCAAACATTGTTGGAGAATACACTTTTCAGAAATGTTGCTATTGCTTTAACGGTATGTCTATTTTGTGAATTAAATACATTGATCATTTGGGATGTAAAATATGAAATACATCCTGGACTTGTCCGCTGTTACAATTGTTACATAAAGTGTGCTGTCTTTCAGCATCCTTATTTCGTCTGGTTGCATTTACATTCAAATTATGTAGAGAAATTCGGAATTTACAAAATACCTTCAGTAACGTCTTATCATGAAACAGGTATGTAATATACGCTTCAATGTAAAACCTAATTTTACCAGACTATAATATCTAAAAAAATGTGAAGCTTGTACATTTCCTTGCCAATTTTGGACATAAATATCAACTAATCTTTGCTTGAACACATACAAGAACACATTTTTCATCTCCAACATTTTGGTATAACCATACGTGTGAATACGAGACGGATATCTGAAACCCAGTTCCTTTTACCTCTGTCATCCAGTTCTTTCAACATGTTATAACATTGATGTGGATATCTGTTTACAGCCATTCTAACCAATTTAATCCAATATTTAACAGCTCTGTGTCTACTTAAAACAAACATATTGGTACGACCAATTTCGCCTAATATTGCCTTATTCGATGCGAATTTCCCAACACACAAGAAACGTTTGAAATGGGAAGTTTGCACCTTTTCAATACAGTCATGATATTTAAGGCCCCATATTTCCAATGCATACAACAAAATAGGTGCAATTTTACCATCGAAGATATTACATGCCGTCGAAAAAGACAAGAACTTGTTGTTATGGAACAGTCTGTATACAGGGAAAACAGCTTTAGAAGCCTGCAATGCATGAGTACGACACGCTGTTGACCAAATAAGCCTGGATGAGAAAATGATGCCTAAATATCTATAATACGATACAATTTTTAATTTTACACTACCAAATGTCCATTGTTCATTTTTGGCAACTTTTCCCCCGTTTAATAGCCTTTGCAAATTTACAACAGTATAGTAGAATAGAACAACATCATCGGTAAACAGAAGCAGCATAATATCAATTATATCCTGAGGTACAAATATACCTTGGGAACATTTTTCATACAGTTCATGTACTAATTCATTTAAAAAGAAAATGAAAGAATGGGGCTGAGGATACGGCCTTGACGAATACCATTGGAGGTAGAAAATGACTGTGTTTGGCAAGTTCCAATCTTGACAGAAGCTTTAACAGATGTATACATATTTTCCCAAATCCGGAACATTTTGCCATGGCAACCTTTACTTAATAACAAGTACAATAACTTTTCCCTGTCCACATAATCAAATGCTTTCTTGAAATCTACAAAAGCACAGTAAAAAACGACCTTTCGGTTTAGACAAATATTTGGTACATAAAGCCTGCAAAATAAAAATATTATCAACTGTAGCATAATTCGGTCGGAATGCAGCATGTGCTTCTGATAGTAAGTTATTTATATCTATCCATGTCCTTAAACGCTGTTCTAGAATCGATGTAAAAAAGTTTCCCAATACTGTCCATTAGTGAAATACCTATGTAATCTGATGGGTTACTTCTTGATCCAGTCTTATATAAGGGAAGAATAATAGCCTGATTCCATGCTTCAGGGAATACACCACTATCAAATATTTTATTAAAAAGTAGGGTTAAATATGGAGAAAGGGTTTCTGATGAAATCTTGTATAATTCTGCAGGTATGCCGTCTTCTCCAGGGGACTTTCCTTTCTTAAGATTTTTAATTTCTTCCTTTATTTCTTCCTCAGTGATATTTTTTGCTGAGCAGATCATTCGTCCAGGGAGCAGAGGTACAAGTGTCACAAGAATGGCTTTGTATTAACTGTCTAACTGTATGATCAAATTCTGTTTCTTCTCGTCCAACGCAGGATTTAGAAGTTCTTTAAAATAAGGAAACCATTCACCATCTGTAATATCATCTTGATTGCTCCTGGGGTTCAATGCTTGTTTAACAAAGATTTACAGTCACCATATTTAGCCGCAAGATTTATCTTGTCACTTAGACACAAATTAAATGCAGTTCTCTTCTGGTCACAACACTTCTTGAATTTTGATTTGGCAGATATATACTGTTGAAGATTATTATCAGTCTTGTACTTTCTAAAAGAAGTTAGCATTTTATATTTCTCCTTCTTCATTCTTCTGCACTCAGAGTCAAACCATGGTGGCTGTGCCCTTTGCCGAGGTACGTTTCCTCTAGTTATATCAGTTACATTGCAATAACAGAACATAATAACATCTGATAATTTCTTGACTGCCATATTTACGTTTTCTCCCAACAAGGTTATAAAATCTGTTAACATTTGTTGCACTGTTACACTTTTCAAAGACATCAGATAGTCATTTACTTCCGTTTGTGGTAAATTACATTTAGGTATTTTTGTTAAAGTGACCTCACAGTATTCTGTGGTATGAACTACAGCAACAGGTGTATTAATGCAGGACAGTGTAGCAACTAGTGGTATATGATCTGACTCTGACCTTGACATTACTTCCATGTCATTAATATTGACAAATAATTCACTCGAAATGATAAAATAGTCCACAACACTGCAGCCTGAATGTGAAAGAAATGTGTAGTTACTGGGTGTATCGCTCACTGCACGGCCATTTACAATATGTACATTAAGTTGCTTACAGATTTCAAGTAAATAACGACCACAGTTATTGAGAACTGTATCACATGTGGCGCGGGGTTGCGTAAAATCATCTTGTACTGAGAATCGCAGGGGAGATAATCAACAGAATCATCAATCAGATAATCAAGTTCGTTACAAGTCCTAGCGTTAAAATCCCCACAAAGGATAAACTTGGTTTGTTCGCCATAGTCATTTTGCAATAAAAGACTCTCTAATGTATCAATTCCACTTTCTTCCCTGTCCATATATATTGGTGATCCTTCAGGGTGGATATACAGAAATCCCCAAATAACGCTGTATACTAAAGGTACTGTTATGGAGTGGATGATCCCTTCATGAGTAATAAGAAGCATTCATATAATACCGAGATCCTGAAACGAGTCTGCTTGTGAGTGTGCAAATATTTTGTCTTTACTTGGACAGAGATTGATTTCATACGGGCTATTTGTCATTTCTGTTGAAGGGACTTCAAGTGTTTGTCTCGTTAGCAGAAGTGTTTCCTTCTTGCTTTAAAACATATTCTATATTTGTCGTTTTCAAGTTCATATGACCGACTAGCGTTAAATACACACTGGCTCAGTGCAAAGTCTGAGTTTTAACCACAATCTGATAAATCCCTGGATACCTTTGGGGGTAACAACATCAGTCACATCAGTCAGTTACACAAGCATCAACGCCAGCACCAGCAACTACATCAACACCAGCACCAGCACCAGCATCAACATCAACACCAGCACCAGCATCAACATTAGCACCAGCATCAACACCAGCACCAGCACCACTATCAGCATTAGCAGCACCAGCATCAGCATCTGTGCATCAACACCAGCACCAGCATCAACACCAGCACCAGCACCAGCATCAGCATCAACACCAGCATCAACACCGCACCAGCATCAGCACCAGCACAACAGCACCAGCATCAACAGCATCAATCACCAGCACCAGCATCAACACCAGCAGCACCAGCATCAGCACACACCAGCATCAACACCAGCACCAGCATCAACACCAGCACCAGCATCAACACCAGCACCAGCATCAACACCAGCACAACAGCATCAACACCAGCATCAGCACCAGCATCAACCAGCACCAGCACCAGCATCAACACAGCATCAACAGCATCCAGCATCAACACCAGCACCAGCATCAACACCAGCACCAGCATCAACACCAGCGCCACATCAGCATCAGCACCAGCACCAGCATCAACACCAGCACCAGCAGCATCAGCACCAGCATCAGCATCAACACCAGCACCAGCATCAACACCAGCACCAGCATCCAGCACCAGCATCAGCACCAGCACCAGCATCAACACCAGCACCAGCATCAACACCAACACCAGCATCAACACCAGCACCAGCATCAACACCAGCACAAGCACCAGCATCAACACACCAGCACCAGCACCAGCATCAACATCAACACCAGCAGCATCAACACCAGCATCAGCACCAGCATCCAGCACCAGCATCAACACCACCAGCACCAGCATCAACACCAGCATCAACACCAGCAATTCAGCATCAACACCCAGCATCAACACCAGCACCAGCATCAACACCAGCACCAGCATCAACACCAGCGTCAACACCAGCACCGGCGTCAACACCAGCATCATCACACCAGCACCAGCATCAGCATCAGCACCAGCATCAGCATCAGCACCAGCATCAGCATCAAATACCAGCATCAAATACCAGCATCAACACAACAGCATCAGCACCAGCACCAGCATCAAGCACCAGCACCAGCATCAGCACCGGCACCAGCA